GGTTCCATTATGAAGATTGGAATTCAAATTGAGTTGATTGAACAACCAAATTAAATCCTATAAATAAACAAAAAATTAAATAAAACTGTCCCAAAATTGTTTTAAAAGAAATTTTCAAAGAACGATGCGTTCCGAACATCTGTTTCGAAGAATCGCCATTCGAATTTGATTTGCAAATTTTGGTGATCATGTCTTTCAGGAGAATTTTTTCGCCTGAACCAAAAATAATGCAAACATAAACAGGATGCAAATATTTTGAAATCAAATAAATTATGTTCAAACATACGAAATCTTAAATAATCAAAATGTTTTTAGCAAAAATGAATAAAAGGGTGGATTTAAATTAGCAAAATGTCGACAAGACGATAGTGAATGTGATCTTAAAATATTGAAAATATGATTAGAATTTCTCTTAAATGGAATCTCTCTCTCTCTCTCTTCTCTATATCTCAATCTTTCTCTGTATCAATCATATATCTTCTTCTTCTTATAAATATTCTTCTTGATTTTTCTTCTTCTTCTTCTTCTTCTTCTTCTTCTTCTTCTTCCAATTACATCTCTTCTTTATTTTTCTACTAATATTTACCCAATGCATGGCTCAGGAGGCACTCAAGGTAGAGGATTACTTTGTGGCATTATACTATTATATGGAATGCATTTTCGATGGAAAAAGAGCTGAAGTAGATTTTAGAATGAATCTGAAAAGCAAACATACACTGGAAACAAGGGATAAACCTCTACTCCTGTTCAAAAGACCGGGGAAGAGACGTTAAAAAGTACAGAGTTGAAGTAGACCAAGAAGGAACCGGAAAAATCCTAAAGAGGAAACAAGGGATAAAACCTCTTTTTCCTGTTCAAAAGATTGGGGAACTACAAAGGGGTAAATATTTTAGTTCTGTATAGCCTTAACTGTGGATAAATTTGAACCAACGGTAGGTGAACCTATCTAATGTCAGGATCTGATGGTGACTTTTTTTCGATTGAAATTTTTCAAAGGGAATAAAATATCATTTTAATTATTCTTTACTCAATACAATTACAAAAGAGCCACTCACGAATAGATCCAAAAAATTATATTGAAGTATATATTATTTTTTTTTTAAACGTCAAAATTAAAGTGTATTGAAAATTTTTTTAATTAGAAGGAACCATTAACCAAAACAGATAACTTTTGAAAATCAAAAAATTTCCTTACTGTACGTTTAAGATATATGAAAATAAATATAAATATAAAAAAATACAATGAATGGATCGTTAATCATTAAATTACTTCGATCATTTAAAAAAAATAAATCGACTGATGAAATGCATTGATACGCATGGAAATACGACTGCAGTTTATGTATTTTGAATTTTTATTTTGTTCTTATATAATAATTTTATATATATATATATATATATATAAATATATATATATATATATATATATATATTAAAATATTAGGAATATAAA